CAACCTGGTATTAGACGAGCCTCCTGCTGCCAGTTTTGAGAGTTGGATGCTCCGACTCTTTCTTCTTGCAGCTGTTAAAGGAACAGCCATTGGTTTTTATAATTTCCTTTCAGTTCATTATTTTTGATGTGCACAATATAACATATTTGGGTTAAAACAGTGTACTTGTTTTCAATTAAATAAGGATTGGTATATGAGCATCTTTGGAATTATTGACATGACTCTGGAGGAAGGGATAGACTTTTGCAAAATGATTTGGCTGTTATCAACATGGCTATTCTGACTCATTGCTGGAAACAGAAATCACGGAGATTGAAACGTGGCCCAGCTGGGATGGTTGATTTTTCACATTCACCAGGCTGTTAGCATTAGAGAAACATAGTTTCACTCTAATCAGAGAAAGCATAAAATATAAAAGGCGTCATTACCACTCAATCATTAGTAACACACGAAAATTGGAACCAAGAAGGTGTTACTTCCCCCAGAGCCAAGGCTGATGGTTCCAGTTGGAAGGCCCTTTGATGACGGAGCCATCGGCCTATGGATTGGCGGGCAGCCATTTGCTTGGGGGGTGGAAGTAGACTGGTTGAAAAATTAGATAATGAAGGGTAGATAAATAAGACCACAAGAGTGGAGTCGAGCTAGCCCTGTGGCTCGGTCCCCTCTTCTCCCGGGGATCCTGTGAGTAGTCAGCGCACATCACCTGCGCATCTTTGCCAGGTGCTTTTCTGAAGCAGCTGGAGTCTGATGTGCTAGTCGGAGGAGAAACTGCTGCCTCAGGAAACACTTTGCCTTTGACGGATTGCTGAATGACTGGCAAATTAATTCTGGCACCTTTCCCTAAGTCATTTTGGTCCCATTCCTTCATTTTTCTGCTGGGAAGTGTGTATTCACATCACAGTTAAAAATACATTGACAACACAAATGTGGGAACAGCATGGACTATTTTAGGAGAGGAGCTGTAGGCTGGACGGTTCCATTGTGCAGAATAGAAATGATGCCGTCATGCTGAGAGGAGGCCTGAAGTCTCTTTCAGCTCGACTGGATGTTCCTCCTCCTGATCTCTCTCAAAGTCATGGGCTCCACAGTTTACGATTTTGAGTCCTTGAGGATCTTCTGATCTGATATTTCCCCCTTAGGTTCTTACATATAGCAAACTTTCCCTGCCTCTCCCCCCAATTTTAGCATCACCCCTTCCCTATATTTCCCTAGTCATCTCTAGGAAGAGGTAATATGGTAGGTGATTAAGAACAAGAACGTGATCTCTGAACCTGTGTGTCCCACTTGTTGGCTGTGTGACCTTCAGTGCATTACTTAACCTCTCTGTGCCTCAGTTTCATCATCCGTTGAAGGTGAATCATAGTGACCTTACTCATTCCACCCTCTCTAGATCTCTTTGTACACTATCATTTTCTCTGTGTTGAGCACAGTGTATTTTTCAAATGGTTTTTAGAGAGAGAGGAAGAGAGAGGGAGAAAGAGAAACATCGATGTTAGAGCACAACATTGATCGGCTTCCTCCCTCACGCCTCCCACCAGGGATCAAGCCCACAACCCGGGCCTGTGCCCTGACCAGGAATCAAACTGGTGACCTTTTGGTGCACTGGATGATGCCCAACCAACTGACCCAGCCACACGGTCAGGGCAAGTGTTTTAAAGTCAACATATTTTTCACTTAGCTTTCCTTTCCTGAGAATGCATTGCATTACTGCTGACAAAGATAAAAGGAATTTGCAGTTTCGCTTTTGCTTTTCCAAACTAAGTTGAAGATGCCATGCTTGAGACACAGGAAGGTAAACCTGAACAAGAAGTTATCATTGGAACCCTGGCCCGCGGTGAAGATCAGGCCTGTTGTCTGAGGCGGTGACACTGCCATCGTGAGGCTGGGCGCTTGCTGCCTGGCTCTCCGGATGGGACCGGCCTGTCCCGTCACAGCTGTCATTCTGGCCCTTAAGGATTAAAGCATCTCCATAGTAGTCAATTACTGATTCTTCTGCTCTTATGTTGTACATACGGTTTTTAAAATTTAATTGATATATATATATATATATATATATATATATATATAGTAAGATTTATCATCTTAACCATTTTTAAGTGTTTTTTGGTTGCTGATTTTGTGTGTGTGTGTGTGTGTAACATTTATCGGAAGCCGAAGAACATGCTGACTTACCATAGGGAAACAGTGTTACGACATGGAAATCTTAAAGGGAGCAGCGATGAATGTAAGCGCTTCGCATGCATGCCGTCCGTTCAGTGCTGATGCGTCTAGCACTGGAGATACTAAGAGTCCACACGTGTACGTGGAAGAGGCATTCTGCTTTCCAGAAAAGTTTGGTACATTTTTTTCCCCAGCTTTTTGGTCTTCAAGCATTTCGAATCAGCCGCAATGGCAAATTTGCAGGAAAAGACATGTGGAAAAAAATCAGTGAGAGTCACAAATGTCTGGTCAGATATATCATAGCCAGATATATCTGGTGCTTTTACCATCAAAGAGAAAAATATGGGGAAATAAATAGGATTTTATCAGTAACTAGAACAGGCCCCAAGTTATAGAATATGCTCAATAAATATTTGCTGAATGAATAAATCAGTGAAACAGTTTTTGCTAAGTTCAAAACAAACATGCCTAATACTGTTGTCCTACAAAGACTCTGTTTCTACTTATTTAAAAAGTTTAGTGATTAACCTACAATAAAATTTGGTCCAAAGAGTAGTTCAATTAGGACTTAGAGGTATGAAAATACTGACCATGCCTAAAAGAACTACATGAAAACCACATTATTTGAGGAATACCACCAATAATAAAAAATAATTGAGATAAAATTTCATACTTTTATTATTTTTGAAAATCAAGTTTAATATTTAAATTAGCAACATAAAAACAACCAGCTTGCCGAGTAGTTCAGCATTGTCCTGTACACCAAAAATGTTACAGGTTCGATTCTCGGTCAGGGCACACACCTAGGTTGCAGGTTTGATCCCTGGTCAGAGCCCATACAGGAGGCAACCAATCAGTGTTTTTCTCTCACATCGATGTTCCTCTCTCTCTCTGTCCCTTCCTCTCTCTAAAATCTATCCTCAGGTGAGGATTAAATAAATAAATACATAAAAGGAGTGTCCCTGCTAAAAGAATAGGCTGAATTCCTACTACAATATAATTTGCTCATAACGTTCTACTATGAAGACTTATAATTGGCGATCTCTCATATACTATCTTACTTACCAATAAAACATTATGATAATATAATGCCTAACGTGTTCTATTATTCAAATTATTTACTGAGGCAGACTAGGCTTTCTTTAGATTAGTTAGAATTAATGACCTTTGCTTATAAAGTCAAGCACATCTTTTATTTGGGAAAAAAGCTGAAATCTTAGAATTTGAGGAAATTAAGAAGTTTGTGCCTAGGCTATACACATTGCAGTTAATTTTTAAAATTATATAGATTAGCAGTAGATATGGTTGAGTGCCCTTGTTTTTAAAGACCCCACTCTGGGGAAGACCAATTTGTAGATAAACAATCCATACCCAGCAGCATCGCATAGCTAATGGGAACATGTAGGAGGGAAGAAGCAGCTCAGACTAACGAGATTAGCTGACATAATCTAATCCCCAGACTGAGCACAAGGAGACAAACAGCATAGAAGCAGGGAGCATTCAATTTATTTCTAAGTCATTTCTGGTTTCTCTGTTCCGGTGTCACCAAGTAGATGGTAGGTGATCATTTCCCACCAGTTCCAAGTCTTTAAATTTCAAGCACTGCAATTCCCCAGTTAACTTACTGTTGGGCCATAGGCAAGAGGCCTTTTAATTCCACATCAGCACAAGAAATTATTCAGAGACACTTCCTGTTGGCTGGGAAGCTTCCTGCCATCCTTCCCCCCACGGAACCGCGGAAGGTATGAACATGGGAGGCAGCAGCTTACAGATCCCCAAGGACACCGCTTGCCGCCCACCCGCCCTGGGAACTGGTGAGGTCCCCAAGCTCCAGAGGGGCAAACTGAGCATTCTTGTTATCATTCACTTTATGATTTTTAACGATTGATTCTAAGGTAAAAAAAAATCTTTTCATGAAGAAGGTTGTTAGGAAAACCAGTTGAACTTGATTAATTAGGGAAAACCCCCACATTAATGAAAATTGGGGTAAGACCTCTCTGAAATGACATTTTACTTTTCATAGTACTCAAGATGGGGTTGGAAAAATATTTTTCCCCCCAAAGTAGAGATAGGTGTATGGTTTCATTGTAATACATATATATATGCCCATTGTAAAAGACTCCAGACATTAGAGAAATCTGTGGAGAAAAAACTGTCATTCTACATCTCAGGCATAACAACTGTTAGTGTTTTAGTGCACAGCTTTCTAGATTTTTCCATGGCCTTACAAACATTCAGATAATCACAGGGTATTTAAAAAAAAACAGCATCTGACTACACACGCCATTTAGTAATGTGCCTTTTTACATAATTTCTATGTTAACATATGCATTTTCCTCATAACTTTTAATTCTTTGTATTTCACTGTAGAAATGTACCATTTGTGGTTATTTTCAGTTTCTCACAAATAGGAAGGATGTTCTTATACGTATGTCTTTATTTTGTTGCCTACTTGTTTCTTTGCTGTGTATACCTAGCATGGAATTGTGTAAAAGAACATAGACTTTTCTGAACGTTGATAACAATTGTAAAATTGCTCTCCAAAGAAATCACCTCAGTTTACCTGCCCACCAGTGTTGCATAAGTGCCCAGGACTCTACACCCTTGGGGATCCTGCAGGTTTAAAAAGAAGAGGTGCTGTAGAGGGGAACTGCTTCTAGTCTGTGGATTTGGGGTCATGGGGAGCTTCATGTGGGCGATGGCTTGTGTTCCTGGTCGCTGAAGAAGGTCACGGTCACGTGACTAGTGCATGCATTTGTCTGCAGGATGGCAGAACCCAAGGTTTCCTTTTACCGCCTACTGCCAGTCCCTTAAACTCTCCTCTCATTCTTCTCCTGCAGATCGAGGAAGACACATGGCAGAAATACTACTTAGAAGGAGTCTCCAATGAAATGTACACAGAATATCTCTCCAGTGCCTTCGTGGGTCTGTCCTTCCCTACTGTTTGTGAGTAAGTGACCATCAACCACATGCTGCTCAGCTCTAGGGTGTATTTCATGGGCCCCCTGCAGGAAAGACACTCACCTCTGCCCTGCACAGTGGGGACATTCGACAGTTTCGGACTGTGTCCTATGGGCTCAGTCTTGTGCGGTGAACAGGAAGGAGGGTCACGGCATGGTGTCTGCCTTGGGGATTTCCGCTGGTCCTACTTTTTCCTCCAGTTCTGAGCATCTCAGGCTTGGATCTGTAATTTGTACTAAATTAGGAACTGCGCCTTTCTTGCATATCTTGAATTATGCTCCTGGGATGTAGACACATTTCTGAAGGGGAGGCATGAACCCATGTCTTTGATTTTACTAGAAAATCTTGCTAGCCCCTATATGAAAGGAGTTTTAATCTCTCAAGTCAGATCATAGAGACATCAGAGAGGCCACTGTTTAGAGTGCGTTCATGATTGCTAAGGACATGCACAGCCATACAGACCAGAGGAGACCTTGCAAAGTCCCTAACATGGGCACCTGCCATGTTATAATGACAAGAAGGCTGAGCTTCTCCGGATACTGGCTCAGCAAGATGGATTTGAGAAAGGGCAGCCCCAGCCAGCCCCAGCCCCTCAGGGGATGAGGTGATTACCCAAGGGGTATGACCTCAGGTGTCCCAGACCCCAAGGAACATCCACCAGAACAATGCCTTAAATTCCCCACTTAGACTCTCAGATGTTGAGTATAAGTCAAACAGGCTTCATTCCCTTTGAAAACACAAAATCCACGGGCTGCTGAAATGTTCAGCCTGATCCATGGATGCCTTAGCAAAGGGTTCGATAAACTCAGTCTCACTGACTCCAGTTGGAAGGCAAGGGGAATCTGGGAAACCACTGGGCCAAGGAAAAAAAGCTGTTCCCTTGTCTGTCTGCCTGTCTAGAAACCAAACTGACCTTCCGGAGAGGGAGGTCTGAGGAGGACGGCCCCGGGGCTCCCGTTCCCCGGCCCCGTAGTTCTGTTCTGTGCACTGTGGGGCGGGGATGGCGCGTGGGTCTGCGTGGGGATGCCTGCCCGTAAACGCAGCAGGTGCACGCCGTCTGTCCCTGGGCCAGGCCCTGAGCAACCCAAAATGGTTTGGCTGTTTACTGAAATTTCTCACCCTGTCTCGAAGCGAAAGTTTAAATGCTAAATGGACTGGAAAAGTGAATAGGTAATTGTTTCGGAAGAAGTTATTTTCTGAAAATGGATGCCCCTAGTAACTCCCACGTGTCCCGGTCTCTGAAAGCCATTTCTCTTTCTGCCACAGAGACTGGTTTTGGGTCCTGGAGCAGAGGCTGTCTCCGGGGACCGTCTCTGCCTCGGAGCTTGGCCCGCCTAGGATAGGAAGCTCGGGAGAATTCAGGATTACAAAGAAGCAGGTCTTATAAAAGGCAGCTGTGGCCTCTGCCACCTACCAGAGGGGTGTGTGGGCACGCCGCAGAGCTGAGGGCGCCTGTGGCAGTGGAGGCATCGGCAGAGAGTGTTTGAAGCCCCGGGCCTTGGTAGTAAATGTTCCCTGGCTTACCTGGTGTGCGTATCTAACGGGCGCGCCCTCGAAGGCTGCTTCTCTGCTCCTGGGTGCCCAGGGGTGTCCCATGTAGCCCTGGGACTGCTCTCCCTGGAGGCCGCAACTATGTCCCCACCTGCTAAATTGGACTGGAATTTGCCATCCACAGTGTTTCATTTCTTAAAAGTTAGTTGCCGTATTTGAAAATAGAAGTATTTTACCTATGAAATAGATTTTTGGACTCTCCTGAAATTCTGATGAGCCAACACGGGACTTGCATTTCTACCTAATGCTAGCACCTCCAGGTCGCTGTAAGGAAGATTCAGGGCCGGCCCTCCCCTGCCTGACAGCCTAAACTGGGCCAGACGGGCATCGCCAGCCCAGGCCTGGCCCGGTGGACATGTGAGCTTGCCAACGCTGACCCATAGGGTAGCGTGAAACTTCACCGCCCCTCGGAGCCAGCTCAAGAGCCAGACACTAGTGACAGTGACATTCTTTCCCTTGATTGATTTCAAGTTAAGAACATGCTTCGAGGAGTTCCGACTACACCAGACACACCTTGTTGTCAGAGAATTTAGTATTTTCCAGAACAGCTTCTGGAGCACAATAAAACCCAAAACCTTCTGACGTGAACGAGAATGTGTTCAACTTAGTGCTATTATTCGTTTAACACAACGATACAGCCGAGGTAGAAATAATCAATAAAGAAAGGACATTTAATGAGATTTAGGAACATCCCCAAACATTGAAGCTCTCCTCAAGCATTTGATTATCTGGAGGCTTAATTATCTGTGTTTTCTACTTTAAATTAAAGAAAAGCCATAATTCAAAGTTACCAGCAGTTTAATGATAACACTCTTCAATTCAGGTTAATTAAAGCACAGTCGTAATTAGAGTGTAGTGTTGTATATCACCGGGTAGGCGCATGAGTATTTTCATTACAGTAAGAATTGGCTATTCAATTTCAAGATGACATAAAGGATGCCAAAATATATTTTAAGCTGCTTCATGTAGACGAAAAAGAATTGGGGAATATTCTGGGTATAATAAAACACAGATAAAACATACAGATTTTCAGGGCAGCTTCTGTAATAATGCACCGCTCAAAATAGTGTGCAGCACATAACATCTTACAGAAGAGAAGAAAGAAAACCCTCTCCCCCTAGGCTGCCGAGTGCCCCATCGCAGGGCGCATTCACAGCGTGGGGGAGCTTCGTGTTACCTTAGGAGCCGAGAGAGGCATCCTGTGAAAAGACAAGGGAGCAGGATAAAGGGGTGCAGGAGGAGGAGAGGCAGGAGGGGCAGAAGGCCCCCCCAAGGCAAGTTTTTAAAAATGCCAAGCTGAGAGATGCTCTCTCGGCCTAGGGAGATGCTTACCAGCCATGTACTTGGACTTCCGGGCATCAGCTTTGTTCCAAAAACAGGAGTAGCTACTGTAGATAAAATGCAACATTATTTCTAAATACTTATTTACATTTTCTGCTGAACCCTCATACCAGTTCTGTGACTCAGCACTGCTGTCCCTGGTTTATAAACGCGGACACTGAAGACGGCGGTGCCCCTTCTCAAGCCGCCTTGCAGACAAGCAACGCTCCAGTGCTCCGGCGCCGGGCCTCGTGCGAGCAGCTGGGAGTAGTTGCTAGATGAAGTCTGGCTCATTAAGAATCTCCTGGGGAGCTTATTAAATGGAGAGGTTCCTAGGCTACATCTTTAGATTTTAATATCTGGGCTAAGGCCCCCAAATTTGCATTTTTTGCAAACAAATCAGGTGATTCTGATTCAAAGCTTGTTGACTGGGAACGCTCGCGGACCCCACCCCTCCATACCACAGCTGGAATAACCTCTCTTATCCCCCACTTTGGGCTCAGACACTGGAATGTTTCTCTCTCATTTTAGCCAAATCATAGAAGCATGGGTGAGCTGCATCCTGCTAAGATTTGGGCCTGTGTGTGGCTTCCCGGCCATCATTCCTTCTCCCGGTGGGGTATTCCTCGATCTCCTGCTCTGCTCTCTACCACGCCAGGCAAACCACTGACTGCTCTTCCCACTTCCCATGCCTATCCCGATCAGTATAGCAAAACCATGTGGGTACCCAACCCTCTAATGCTCTCGGTTATGTTCCACAGAGTCATAAGTGATCTAAGGCTGGGGAGAACAGACACACACTAAAGGCAGAGAAGCCCAGAGGAAACAAGGGCGTTCAGGATGCAACACTCAGAGCACCTCTTGACCTTGTTGGAGGTCATGGTGGGCATGTCCTGGACCTTCCCCAGGGCACCCTCAGGGTGTGCCTCTTAAGGACCAGCAACTCCTGAGCATTTCCCCTTGGCCGTGCGTAGCTGGCTTGCTCCTGGGCCCGTGTGGCAGTGAAATCGAGGCAAAGGAGCTTGTGGATGTGGGGGAGAGGATGCCATCCATTGTTGTCTGAACACCAGAAAGCCACTTGCTCCCTTCCCCTCCCGTCCCCATCTTCCTCAGCAGTGACTCTGGGGGTGCAGATGGCCCGTGCCAAGCCTGCAGGAAGCAAGGGGCTGGGTACGAGGATGTTTCCCACGGAGGCGGCCTGCTCTTGAGCAGTTACATAATGGGCTGCTGTGTGGTGTTGTGGAGGGTGAGCCACAGAGTTGCAAAGGCCAGAGGCCAAACCTGCAGATCGGCCTCCTGCTGGATGGGTGATTTGGGGCAAACCACTTGATTTCGGCATACCTCCTTCCTTCGATAGTTACGGGCGCCTGCCCTTGGCTCCATGCTTGCCCCCATGTCCTCCTCTCTGAAACAGGAATGACGTCACCTGTCTCAGAGCTTGCAGTGCCCTTTCCCCCTTTCCCACTGCTCCTCGTCCTCCCACAGACCCTTCCCGGCCCATCAAACATGATGTAAGCGCAGAGGGAGAAAGAGATACTGTGGCATTTCCAGGTTATATTTACTCTTACCCTTTAGAAAATTCTGCCCTCAGTCACCAGTCAGTCAACTGAGTAGGTATTTAATGAATGTAGGGTATTAGTGCCAGTGTATCAGTCATGGTGCCATCTCTAGAGGAACCTGTAATAGATTTGATCAAATATATGCACAGTAAAAGATTAATAACAATACTTATAAATGCCAAGTAAAGGATTCTGTTTTCCTACAGCGGCTGCCTTCTGGGTGTGCAGTCTGACTAAGGAACATGCTCCCATCCTCGGGTCCTCGGGGGGAGCTGAACACCTGTTGATAAGTGTTTGTTTGACAGATCTACACAACAGCGGACAGATGCTGAGAGGTACCTGGAGGCTGGGGTAACCAGGAGAGGCTTCCTGGAAGAGATGGCACTTGGTCTGTACCTTGTAAGGAGGTTGGATTCAGAGAAGGAAGGAAGAGGGAAGAGAGGATGCTAAGTGGCAGGGGATAGGAGGCTGGGAGCCACACGGTACTACAGAACTCCCTCAACACCTGGTCTCTTTAAGGTTTTCCAGAGAGAGCAAACTGCTTTCCCTTTAGATCAGA